CAGTAGTCGACGCAAACGGTCATACGTTATCAAACTACTCAATGCAACCTACTGCGTCAATATTTACAGCGGAAGCCGCGGGTATAATGGAGGCGCTTCAAATAGCCCAAAAAAAAGAATAAGAAGGCTGTAATCTTCAGCGACAGTCTCTCGGTCTTAGAAGCCATAAAAAATATCTCCAATAGCAACTGGGACACCATAAACGCGATCCGTGATATTTTACACCAGTCCCGACACACAAAACTATTCTGGATACCAGGACACGTAGGTATAACTGGTAATGAGGAAGCAGATAATGCAGCGAAGTCTGCGTGCAAGGCTCCAACCATCATTAGCCCCATTATAGAGAAAACTGATCTAGCGCGTGTCTGTCTTCAACAGCACCGAAAACAACAACAAGCCAAAGGTTAAATGCGGATGTGCCGAACGAATGTCCGGCATGCGGAGAGACCCCTCACGACTCGAAACATCTCTTCGCATGCCCGGAAAACCCCACAACCCTAACGGCGTCGTCCCTATGGACTGACCCCATAGAGGCTGCACGCTTCTTGGGGCTGCCGTTAGTGGAACTCGACGACAACGACTGAGATATCAGCCGATCTGGGCGGGGTTGTTGTAGCCGCTACAACAACAACAACAACAAGCCAAAAGAGCACTCAATCAACATCACCATTACTCAACTGTTAACACAAACAATACACCTGCTATTTACCCCACTACCACAGAAAAAGAAAAAATCTTTGTATTTTCCCGCCTTCGCCTTGGGCATACAAACGCAACTCATTCGCACCTACTAAGTACCCAACACAGCGGAAACTGTCTACATTGCAACGGACGCCTAACAGTCAACCACCTTCTTCTCGAATGTCCGGAGCACCGCAGGTCTAGAAATTCCATCCTTAACAACCACAACCCAATCGATCTACCTACTTAAAACTCCTTCAATCCAGAACATCAACGTTATATACAATTACATCAGAGCCATCGATGCCAAGATATAATCCACACTTTTACATTACCGACACAGCCAATAGCCCTAGCAGCTAGCGCTGTAACTAACCATTAAATTTTATAATTTATTATAAATTTAATACAACAAATAAATTAGGGTATTCACAGTTTACTTCTAAAGTTAAAAGGTGGTAACTTTAACAAGATAACACACTCGAACTGTGAGCAACCCTTACGTTTAAATAAAGTATTAAGTTGATCAACAATACCACGCATTGCAAGACCGTTTGCCTTTCACGCGTTTGTGTTTAAGGCCTGTATGCAGCTCTCAAGAAAACGGTCAAGAAAAAATTGCCATTATTTCGCGTGTGTGTCCAAGGAATTTTGACATTTTTGATACGTCACAGCCTGTTGCCTCACTCTTTCCTCAAGAAATAATAGAACGGGCATATATTTCTGTTGCAAACCTGGGTTGCCTTGTGCTCTTTTTTCACAAAAAACTTTAGAAAACCGTAGTAAAAAGCGTAGCAAATTTCATAAGAACTGCGTAGTGCCTGAAGGAAATTTGACTCAAGAAAATTTCTTAGCCATTTCTTCTACGTCATTTTATATGGAGTTTTTGCTTTTCTTGAGAGCTGCATACGGGCCTTTAGAGAGCATCAACAAACCACATACATATTTCCCTCTATTCTCTCTTCTCTTTTTTATACTCAGCACAGCGCAAAAAAAAAAGAACCTTTGCCAGCTTCAGGCAGGCGCAAAGCGAAACTTATGTACAAGCAGCGCTGCGCCCAAAGCGAAATTCATGTATGTATGTACAAGCAGCGATATATGCGAGTTTAACACAAAACATAAACATGAGACAAAGTCGAGTAATTTTACCCAAAAGTGTTATCTCAAATTAGTATGGGAACCAACAACAAACAAAGTTACCACATGGTAAAATGTTTTAAAGTTACCAGGTGGCAAAATTAACACAGTAGATAATATAGAACTGTGAGCACCCTAAATAAATAACTTTTGCAGAAAACAACTTTCTGCGTAGGCGGCCTTCGGCCGCGCTTAGGGATTATAACCCTCACTAACAGGTCTATTCTGCACGTTACCGAAGATTTTGTAACCGGAAATTTTTATTACCAAAAAATGTTACCAGTTCTTGTCAGGAACGTTGGTAATGCAGTTAAAATATTCAGCAATTCAGCTATGAAGAATTGTGCAAATTCTGGCATTGCATATTTCACGGGGCAATACTTTGTTACCAGCTTATGAGATGGTAACAAAATTTACCGGTTACAAGAGTACACAGAATGCGAAAAGGGTTTAAAAATTGACAGGAACTTTATTTACCGGTTACAAACTTTTTATTACCAGCGCAGAATAGAACTGTAAGTAGAATTCTCCTTTCTGTTTTGCTAAAGAAGAGGGTCTGAACACCTCCCACGACAGTCGGGTCTACGTAACCGGAACGACCCAGATTTATATCTGGCCAAGGACTGTCACTCCAGCAACACTCCCCAAAAAGTCTTTGGGGAATTTGTATGCTGCTACAACAACAACAACCTGCAGAGATATTTCGTGGATATTGACGGCTCAGCTCGGAAACTTGCAAAAAATACCATATTTCCAACCGACATTAATAATAAATTAGTGCACAGATATAGTAAATTTTATTTTTGTAATAAAGCGTGAACTGTTGTCTACAAGTGTGTAAAAGGTTTTTGATTCGATTCACGCGTTTGGGCACAGCAACCCAAAATCGTTGTACAAATTCATAAAGAGTACCCCTAATTTTATACTACTAGCACGAGGATAAAGAAATTATAGAAACTAACTCACTAAAGGGGAAAAAATTATATTTACGAGATATCTATTTAAATAAATATACATATAACATAAAGGCGATTATTTTGAACCAAGTTAGAAGAAACAATGGCAGAATAGCTTTGTTTCTTAACAGATAATTATCACAAATTATCACTTATTTCTGCTGGAAAGCGTTTCTTAACCCAAAAAACTAGCAGAAACTAGCAGCTCTCTCTCGTTCTTACGCTCTTCTTTTTTTGGCTCTCATGCTAATTTCTGCTAGTAAAATTTTTACTAGCAGAAACTAGCAGCTCTCAAAATGGATAAACAAAAATTCGCGCCAAATGTCTGTTTGTGTATGAATTCAATTGTCACGGCTACCAAACTTTGCAGCCAAATTATCAGTGAAACAAAACAAACAGAACGGATAATAATTGAACCAGATCTCTATCAGGATCATATCGTTATTGTTGAATTCGCGTGCAAAATTTTAATAAAACATAGCTAAAGTAGCGACAGAGTTGCATTGGCTTCAGTTTATCAAGTTTATTCAGGGAAATCGCGTGAGAAATTTATCAGAAATGTGTAAACTAGTTCCCATACAAATTTTGACAGTTCATTTATAGGGTTTACACAATTATAAGTTTATACGGTTCACAATGCATTTATAAGGTTTGATGAATACCCTTATTATTTTATAATATCGAAAAATTTATCTATAATTTTACTGTGCCAAATAATTTGGAGATATGTATGTAGTTGAAACTAAGGCGAATTAATTAATAATATTAATATAAGGTGATAGCAGGAGTACAAAAACAAAAATTTACATGTATTTTGTTTTTGCTTTGGCGGCATAAACTGTCAAAATCTGTAAGGTCGGTGTTATGCAGAAATTTTGTTTGGCAAACTGCGTGCAAATGTTTTTGCAGCAAACTTTGTGAGAGCGAGTTTGGCGACTCTCACAGCAAACTAATTTTGTTTGGTCAAACTGCAGCAAATTCGGTGTTGTCATATACAAAAATTTTAGACAATTGTTGCTATACACAAAAATTGCCGTGATACCGAAAGCCAGAGAACTGAATTTATGCTGTAGGAGCTTCAAAGATTAGGGCACAGTTAATTGCCTATACGATATCATAAAAAATATATTAATTGCGCGATGTACATCATCTGAAATTCTCATTTCGTGTTGGCAATAGCCAGGAAAACCATAATCAACGTGCAACCCTGTGCCAAACTCGACATAACCACCTCCGAGCAAACTAAGCAGCCGCCATTTAATTTGGCAAACAAAAGCTTGTCTGCATAACACCGACCTAAGAGTGTGTGTAGAAATTCAAACAAAATTTTTCAATTTGAAATCAGAAGCCGTGCGGCGAAACACATACACAAAATCAGCTGAGCTAGTAACACCACATATAAATTCGCCTTGGTTGAAACGGTTAGTATTCTAGATGTATGCCAAATTTGTTTGCATTTTTTCGTACAAGCCCAATAAACGGCAGAGTGCCCAATAAACGGCAGAGTGCCACCTTTTAAGCTTTTATATATATATATGTATGTATGTATATATATATATATGTAATCGTAAAAACCTGCTTCCATTAGAATTAAAAAATGCATCATGACCCTTTGTAGTAATGAGTCATGCGGTTTATGAGTGAATTGAAAATTAGCACGTTTGTAAAACGTGAAAAATCAATATTTCAATATGTAACTAGGACTATGTACGTATGTACGTACATACAGCAAGATTAACCAATGCATTAAAGTTCATGGATACTGTGTTTTATGCTTTGGAGGTTTTACCGATAAAAAATTTCGTGCGAAACGCGTAAAAACCCGCTGATTTTATGTACCTTTAAATTTGTACGTGGCTCAATTAAAGATCACCATAACCTCAAAATAAAAAAATATATACATTAGTTTAGCTCTTTTCATTGAGGAATAAAAGGCTTCCTTTATAAATCATAGTTAATAACATAGGAATTTATAAAAAGCTGAACCGACACCATTTTGATTACTTAAAAGTTTAAAATTACATTTTTTATAGATTTCAAGGTCTCTAATGTGCCCCTAAATATGGGTGCTGCGCATTTTCTCATAGATACCCGAAATGAAATGTATGTACTCACATATATGTATGCCTTCATACGTAAGTCATTGATTTTCATATTAAATCATTATATTTCTTAAATTTAAAACACTATAACCAATAGAATATAGAAACCAGATGTACTTACATTTTCCCTAAGTTTTGATGTTAATATCAGCAAAAAAAATACTTAAAATACACCTTAATTCCCTTGTGAAAATTATTTTCGTCCTCCTTCACAGAGAATTAAATTGCTGATGAAAAAATCTCGTATTTTACCGATGTGTGTATACCAAAGTTGCTCATTCGAATATGTTATCGATATATGTTTGGAACTTCAGCATAATGGGGCTTTCGCACATGGCGAGTTTTCAGCCAACTTTTGCGTTCAACTCACGCAAGGTTGCACGAAAAAAAAATTGATTGGCAAAAATATTAAAATATAAAGAAACATAAAAATATTCGTCTTAAAAAGGCGTTCGCATTGTTCGACTTTGCATTCTACTTTTGGTTGAACGGCATTTCAACTAATCGCTTTCAACGAAGTTGGTCGCCAGCCAACGTTAAGCCATTCAACTTTTTTTCGTGCAACCCTGCGTGAGTTGAACGCAAAATCGCCTCGTGAGAACACCTTTTACACACAAGCTGTAAACGTTTGACCAACGAGTTGGAGCATGGGTGCGTTCATGAACCAACTAACAAGATCACGTAATCGGCATTCCCACGACAGCCGGTTCTACGTACCGGAATAACTCGGGTTTTACCCGACTAAGCGCTGTTGTTTCGGCGATCTAACCCCGTTTAGGTCGGCGAACTATCTCAGAAGTTGTTCGTCCATAGAGCTACATTCGCTACGTTTTCTTTTACTCAGGGCTGGCATCGAGTCAAGCCCAGGGCCAGAAACCTACACTTGCTGTGTATGCCAGAGACGACTACACCACAACTCCACCTCAGTCAAGTGCAATGCTTGCGAGGGTGGAGTCACCTCAGAGTCTGCTCAGGCCTACGGACACATCGGCAGTGGACCACGTCGTTTGTGGCCCCCTGCTGCTCAAACAGAGCAGCCTCCACGGCTAACCCCAGCCCACCTGAGCAGTCACACACAAACACCACAGCGCAACAACATAACACAATAGACCACACAACAACCGCGACAGACCACAGAACACACACAACCGCACCACCACCCACACGCCGCCGCCAACAACTCTTGGTTCCGCCTACAATCTGCACGGTATGTCAGACCAGGACATTCCGTAATGTGACATCAGTCAAGTGCAAGACCTGCCTTGGCTGGTGCCACTTTAGGGCATGTTCAGGACTGCGCACCACGCGTGACTGGACGAGGAACTTCGAGGACCCGTGTTGCGCAGCACGATCGCAAACCTCAACCGCGACGCCACCCACCACCATCACAGGCAACCCCCTCAGCAGCTCACACAGCCAATGGCGACACGGCCACACACATCTCTCACACCCCGCATTACCACACGTCTCCCGAACCACATGAAGCTCCTTCAATTTAACTGCAACGGGCTTCAGAGCAAGATCGAGGAGATAACCGCCTTTATGGGAAGGCATGGTATACTGATAGCTGTGGTCCAAGAGACGAAGTTGCACAGCAATTCAACATTGTTGAATTGTGCCGGGTAAAACATGCACCGCCGAGATCGCGAGCGAGATCGTGGTGGTGGCTTAGCGTTCATCACGCACCACACCGTGCAGTATCGTTTTATCGAAGCAGACATCGACCGCAGGGATACCACCCTAGAATCTCAGGGCATTGCTATCCGGTCAGGCGATGTTGAGCTCGAAATATTCAACGTTTATATACCCCCTGTCACCTGCTGCCCGGCAGGATATCACCCTGACATAGGGTCGCTCCTCAGAGGTGAAAACCGAATGGCAGTAGGTGACTTTAATGCGCACCACGATCTTTGGCACTCAAGCCTGTCAAACGATCGTAGGGGAACCGATCTGGCTGAGCAGATAGATGATTCGACATTCTGCACAATAAACGACGACGCACCCACCAGGATTATGGGCAGCTCGCCAGACATAACAATAGTCAGCGCTGGTCTGATAAACAGCATATCATGGCGACCTATGCTGACCTTGGCATCAGACCATCTGCCCATAGTCATCTCGATCGATAAACCAACCGACTTTGCTTCCGCGGAGCATCGAACCTATATCAACTTCTCCAAAGCTGATTGGATAGGCTTCGCGGAGTTTACTGAAAACACCTTCGCAGCTCTCCCCACACCAACCGACGTCCACCTCGGTGAACGTAATTTCCGCAGGGCTGTCACCGCTGCTGCAGCTCGCTTCGTACCGGCTGGATGCATCACGGACCCACGTCCAAGTTTCCCTGCCGAAGCGGCTGTTCTAGCCGATGAGCGTGACAGCCTTCGCCAGGCCGATCCCGGGGATCCCCGTATCAGAGATCTCAACGCGGAGATTCGGCAACTAGTAAACGTACATAAGCGGAAGAAGTGGGAAGAGCATCTGAAGACCTGTAACTTCACCTCTGGTGTGAGTAAGCTTTGGTCAACCGTGAGGTCACTGTCCAATCCTACGAAGCACGACGACAGAGTCGAAATTTCTTTCGGCGACCATGCTTCGTCGGACCCGGAGCGGTGCGCGAGCTACTTCAGCCGGCAGTTCATACTGCATCCTCCGGTGGACAAAGCCAAGCGTCGAGTGACCAGAAGGCTGCATAAACTGCCAACAACCTGTGTTCCCCTTGCTTTCACTTGCTGTGAAGTTCAGGTGGCCATCGGGAAGGCGAACGCCTCCAAAGCCATGGGTCCCGACGGAATATGCATGCTGATGCTGAAAAATTTGGGTCCTGCGGGGGTAGCGTACCTAACGGAGGTCCTCAATTTGTCTATGGCCACTCTCATCATCCCAGATATCTGGAAGGTGGGGAGAGTGGTCCCACTGCCCAAACCGGGGAAACCTGCCAACATAGGTGATTCTTATCGGCCGATAACACTCCTTTCCCCGGTAGCGAAGACACTCGAGGCCTTGCTGCTCCCGTATTTCACAAACCACTTGATCCCAGCGAAGCATCAGCATGGTTTCCGTAAAGTGCACAGTACAACAACAGCACTTAACGCCATAAACACTCAGATAACTCGTGGCCTTAACCGTAACCGTCCCTGTGACAGAACGATTCTAGTAGCGTTGGACCTGTCAAAGGCTTTTGACACTGTCAGCCATTCCACGACAGTAGAAGATATAGAGGCTTCCTCTCTCCCACAGAGGCTCAAACGGTGGTCGGCAAATTATCTAAGTGGTCGACACTCGTCGGTAATGTTTTGAGATAAATCGAGCAAACTTAGGAAAATAAAACAGGGGGTTCCACAGGGTGGTGTCCTTTCCCACTACTGTTTAACTTTTACATTTCAAAGCTTCCTCAACCACCAGAGGGAGTCTCGATTGTCTCTTACGCCGACGATTGCTCGATCATGGCGACTGGGAATGGAATTGATGACCTGTGTTCGAAAGTAAACGGATATCTCTCTGAACTTTCTCACTTCTTCACTGCAAAGTGTCTAGCCCTCTCCCCTACGAAATCCTCTGCGACCCTTTTCACAACCTGGACGAAGGAGGTCAGGATACCGCTAGGAATTCACGTCGATGACACACCAATTCCGACGGTGAATAATCCTAAAATTCTCGGAGTAACATTCGACAGCCTGCTCTCCTTCTCTGCGCACGCAACCGCTATTGTCAATAAAGTACAGAGCCGCAACAAAGACCTCAAGTCGCTAGCCGGCAGTACTTGGGGCAAACACCAAGAAACGTTGCTGGCAACATACAAGGCAATAGGCCGGCCGGTTTTAAACTACGCAGCACCAGTGTGGTCGCCGGGGACTAGTAGGGCGCAGTGAACGAAGCTACAGACGGTACAAAATACAGCACTTAGGACAGCGACTGGATGCCTCCTGATGTCACCAGAACACCACCTCCACGACGAGGCGAAAATGCTCCCAATTAAAGAGCACAACACGATGCTCTGAAAGCAGTTTCTTGCTGGGAGCCACAGATGTGGCCACCCAAATAGACAGCTGCTTGCAGAGGAGCCCTCGCCGAGGCATGTCAGGAGGCATCTATATGAACTGACGGACGAAGTCCAGAGGTTCATTAAGCAACCTCTGGACGCAGTCTCGAGTTATGTAGACTCAAGATCTGTGAATGCCGTTCTAGGTACACAAACACCGGACATTAACGCGACGGAGCTCCATCTGCCTCGGGAGACCAGGACAACAATAGCCCAACTCCGCTCTGGCTACTGCAGCAGGCTAAATTCCTACCTGAGTAGGTTAAATGCGGATGTGCCGAACTAATGTCCGGCATGCGGAGAGACCCCTCACGACTCGAAACATCTTTTCGCATGCCCGGAAAACCCCACAACCCTAACGGCGTCGTCCCTATGGACCGACCCCATACAGGCTGCACGCTTCTTGGGGCTACCGTTAGTGGCGGGGTTGTTGTAGCCGCTACAACAACAACAACAACAACGGACGCAGACCTGCTGATTTATCCTTACACGTAAGTTGGAGCGGGGTGGGTGTGGGAGAGTTCGCTTCTTATCTGCATAGCAGCCCTGCTGCAAGGAGTTGCCCCAGGGAAAAACTGCGATTTAAAGATTTTACCGATCTAACCAGGGATAGATCGCCGAACAAAGGCTGTGTGCGAACGCTAGCTTATACACATCGTTAGCGTTGGTTTGAAAACACGAACGCAAAACTGCAGCATGTTAACTTTTTGTTCAGCACTCCTTTTGACCCTGTTTGTTCAAGCCAACTTTAGTAGCGGCAATTCGAAGCTTATAGGACAGAGAGCGACGAGTAAATAAGAGGGGTACTGAGCGCTTATTAGGTTATCCGAATCCTATAAGCGCCTGCTATATGTTCAATATATATTGGCCGCGATCCAGTATTCCGATATTTATTGAAGGTTTGGCATGCAGTATGGATGGATCCATATTTTGAAATCCGGTTCGCGTATCACGTCTGGGTTCGCGTAACCCCCCGTCTCCACCTCCTACAGATTCTGTTAAAAAAGCTGTGGTAAGGCAGAAATGTCAGCTGGAGACCTGCAAATTTCCACTGTTAAACCATATCTGTCTTGCCGAATTTCTTTTCATCGCTGTCTTAACATCATCTGTCATTTTGTAGTATGACAACTCAGTTTTTTTTTACCGCGCCATCTACTTTGGGCACAGATCGATCTGATTGGTTTGATGCCATTTTGAAAGT